GAGTGAACTGGAATGAGGTTAAATCAACAATCTCATATGCAGCATTAAGAGCCAGCATACCTGACATCTAACATAACCTTTCCTGGTCTTAGTAGAGCTGATTAGAAATTTATTTCACACCTATTGTTATAGCTTTTAAACCAATTTCTCACTGCTGAAGCAACCACCAACTGAACAAATTCGTAGGAAGAAAAGAAGTCAACATATTCGTTGGAATGTGGCTGCCCTAGTCTCTCCAAATTTGGTCTATTACCCACATTGAAACTGTCAAGATAAATGTGAAACTGAGGATGATCAGTGAGAGTTTTAGGACATTACTTTCCCTGTGGCTGCAATTCCCTTTTTTCTTCAGTATTATGAGTGAATTCAGAAAGTACTTTTTGTAAATCATGAGAATTGATTGAGTTTTAATTAAAACCTGAATGTGAGAAAGAGGTACTTTGACCTAGTAAAGGGCAATATGGTTAAAATTCCCGAGATGAACTTTCACTGTCACATTTCAAGAGAACTGTACCTCTGAATGCCACCCTTCAAAAATAGATGAACGTGGCCAGATGTGGTGGCTCACACCTGTAATTCCCATGCTTTGGGAGACCAAGGCAGGCAGATTGCTTGAGGCCAGGGGTTCAAGACCAGCCTGGCCTACATGTCAAAACCCCATCTCTACTAAAAAAACAAAAGTTAGCCAGGCATGGTGGCACACGCCTGCCATACCAGCTACTCGGGAAATCGCTTGAATCCGGGAGGCGGAGGTTGCAGTGAGCCAAGATTGCACCACTGTACTCCAGCCTGGGGGACAGAGAAGACACTGTCTCAAAAAAAAAAAAAACCAAACAAAAAAAAACAAACAAAAAACCATAATATAGGTAAATTAGAAAGTGTTCCATTTTAAAATGTTCTTATATTATAGTAAATAAGATTTAAGTTGTACGTATATATACCAGCACACCTGTTTTGCACCAAGTGAGACTTGACCCTTGGAAATTTTCGTAATAAAGGGAGCCTTTACCCCTGGGTTAAGCTCATTACTTTCCTATGCACTCCAGTTGAAGGAAGTATGCATAACACATATATGTTACAGTCCTACCGATGCCCACGTCCCCCCTAGCACACACAGGTTTCCCCTCCCAGAATTCACTATTTGTCCAACAGAACAATTTATTTTCAAAAGTATGCTCTAAAGTGTAATCTTGAAGCCTCAAATTCTCTGAGATGCCTTGGAGGTCCCACAATGTTCATGAATATTGTCCCAAGGAGTTCCACAGAGTAACCAGTTTAATTTAACTGAGCATCTGCCAAACTGGTTTCGTTGTGGAAACTTTCCTTTCCACCATTCTCCTCAAGCATAATTTTTAAAATGCTTTATTTGTTGGGCACAGTGGCTTAACACCTGTACTCCCAGCACTTTGCGAGGCTGAATTGGGACGATTGCTTGATCCCAGGACTTTGAGAGCAGGCTAGGCAACACAGTGAGACCCCATCTCCAGTGTAGTCAGAAAATAAAATGCTTTATTGGACCGTCATTTGAGGTGCTTAATGGGTAACTACCTCGAGGGACCTCTAGAGGTTTTGCCAACAAAGGAAACTCCTCAGTCCACACCAGTGGGTCACTCTGGTGGCCTCACTCATTTGGTGGTGGTGGCAAGAAGATCCACAATGGCAACTTGAAATTATTATATAAGGTTACGTTTGTATTTTGCTACCCATGATGTGGAGGAATAAATATTTCAGGAATGGGGAGTGTAGAACTACTTTGTGCTTGTCATGCCTTGTTCCTTTGGTTTGGTGGCAGGAAAAATCACTTGTCAATGACACATTTTTGTCATATGATCTCGGAAGACCAGGTTCACCATGAACATGGTCTGGTGACGGCTATTGAAAGTGAGTGTTCCTTTTACAGACATCACCATGGAACTTCGAAGTTCTGGCTATGCTCAGTGGGCTGCAAAATACAGAGCAATAAAATTGATTCAAGTCACCTGTTAGGCAAATTAAAGCAATTTGTATTTTTTGTATGTAAAGCAATTTATATTTTACAGTGTATGCACACATATACTGAGTTAATACACAACTCTTATTTCCCTAGTATGAATTGCATACAGACGAAAAATAGCAAAGGAAGTCTGTGCAGTAAAGATGGAGAGAGAAAACCACCTAATCCCCTTTTCCCTAATTATTACATATTTCAGGGATCATTTAGACTGGTATTGTCCAATCCTTTAGCCACCAGTCCCCATGTAGATATTTACATTTAAATTCAAATTAACTGAAAAGTAAATTTTAAAAATCAGTTCATTGCACTAGTTACCTTTCAAAAGTTCAATAGTCATTTACTAAAAGTAGCTACTCTGTTGGACAGCACAGATATAGAACATTCATCTCCAAGTGGTCTACTCGACAGCAATGAAACCACTGATCAAGGTCAAAAATCTCTCCACTGGCTCTGGAGACTTAAGAAAATTGTGATCTTGACCCTTGAATCAGGAACACTCACAAGCAAATTTCTAGATAATAAAGACAAATGTCAGGACATTGACGAGTTGTGCCCGTCTTGTATAGAAACACACATTTTAACTGGCCAAGTCATATGCAAACAGTAGAGGTCATTTTGAAACCTTTGCAGATGACCACATTTGCTGTGCAGAGGAATCCCAGGTGTACACACCTGCATTTGATGTTTCTACTATACATAACGTACTAGTCAGTGTGGTTCATTTTAGTTGTTTGCACTGCAGCAATTCTTCCCATTTATCAGACTTGCTACCTTCTTCCATTGATTGAAACTAAGGCAGAAGGTGGAGGATATGCAAAGTTCAAACCAAGAGGCTTGCAAATAGGATGTTACTAGACATCTTTGGTGAGACGAAATTCACAGTCACCAACTCATGATTGACATGACATCTGACTGCTGCAAATACTTTCTAGTTCCAGAGAGAAACACGCACATACCACACACACTTTCTCTCTACTCAAAACTTTAAGCCTGTTGCAAGCTGATGTCTCGTAGAAATCAGCTAGCCAGTTCTAGCCCCTCCCTACCTCATTAAGTTTAATGTATGTGCCTGCACACCTGTATCTTTCTGTACACATCATGGAAGCCAAGATGAACAAGCTATATAGAAAAATGGCTCCAGAAACCTGGTGACCCGATTTCTCTTTAGTCCATCATTTTTTTTTTTTTTTTTTTTTTTGAGAAGGAGTCTCGCTCTGTCACCCAGGCTGGAGTGCAGTGGCTGGATCTCAGCTCACTGCAAGCTCCGCCTCCCGGGTTTACGCCATTCTCCTGCCTCAGCCTCCCGAGTAGCTGGGACTATAGGCGCCCGCCACCACGCCCGGCTAATTTTTTGTATTTTTAGTAGAGAGGGTCTCCCCGTGTTAGTCAGGATGGTCTCGATCTCCCGACCTTGTGATCCACCCGCCTCGGCCTCCCAAAGTGCTGGGATTACAGGCATGAGCCACCACGCCCGGCTTGTTTGTTGAACTCAGTGCTGTCATAACTGCTTTGGTTTTATAACTCCTCAGCACATTTAATGAGTTCCCCATTCCTAACTGGATAACATAGTATTTGGAGCACCAGGTGGCATCTGGCTAAGACCTTTTTTTTGTGGTTAACTTTCATTATCTTTTTATGGGAAGCTTTAAGAAAAAAAAAAAAAAACTTTCTAAATTATTATCTGTCAGGATGTTTTAGATGTGTCTTCTCCAGGACCGATCCAAAGAATAAACTTTAAAAGATAAACTTGTTTCTTTGAATTGCTATGCAAATGATAGTATATTTACTGTGAAAGTTAACTGTGCCAGAAGGAGGCAGAAAGATATTGAGACCAGTGTACCTACATCTTCAAAGAGGGTTTTTGTAGCTTCCCTGCTTCATCTAATGTCTTATTACTTAGTTTCATGAGGCCAAATGCCACAAACCTACCTTTCCCTGTCATGATTCTGCTGTTGCATACCTTCTCACACACTACTTTGTCCTGAGTCACCCCTTTATAGTGATGGTGAGAACACTCACCTCAGAGGATTATGGGACTGTGTGTTCTAATTAGAACCTGAATAGTCCTGTGTTATCAGTGGACACTGGATCCTGTTTAATTGTGCTGAGATCATTGTACACTGGTTGAGGTATCATTGCGGTCCACTGAGCAAGCAGCTGTTATTTTCACAGTTTGATCATCAACGCTCCACTGAACACAATTCCTTTTGAATATGCCTATTTGCTCGTCCTCTTTGCTTAATTGAACAATTGCAATTACTGGTACATACAACTAAATGTTAATTATTTTTTCTTTTCAGATTTTTTCTGTTAATTATTTTATTTACCAATTAGAAGACTATCATATTTTCCACACCAAACAAATTCTCCATCTGAAGCAGCATGATATATAACCATGTGATCTCTTTGACCAAAAAGAAATGTTCAGTCATTTTTGTAATAATTATGTAACATTTAGACAGCTAAAGACAGTCTTCAATAACATTAGTGGTTAGACAACCAGATAAGTAAGAGATTACTAATAAACTTTCAATCAAAGGGTGACTTAATAAATGTAAAAAGGAGAGCATTTACTTAACTTTATAAGAAAATAAGAATTGTTCGAATAAAATTTAAGTTAATATCTGATAAAGGTAAAGCAGAATCAATTTTGAAAATCTGGAAAGTTCAGCAAAGTATAAAGAGTGTTTAAATAATCCCCCATAATCCTCCCCACCCCAAGACAATCACCATTAACATTTAGGTACATTTTCTTCCCAAGGCCTCTAGGCTCTTCTTTTGGGATATGCTTATGACCGCTAACCTTTAACACCCCGCTGGGGTTGGTGTTCCAACCCCTTGTTTCTCCACGGTGTTTTTGTACTTTCGCTTTGATACTAAGCTTTCATTAACCTCAACTTTAGCTCAGTAGATTTGGGTAACTGCTGTTCTGGTGCGGTGTTGCCACTGGGCGTCCCTGCAGTGGGCTCTGCTGCAGTCCTGAGTCACATTTCTCCTTGTGTTTTAGGGTGGTTATGCCGCATACCGCTACGCCCAGCCTACCCCTGCCACGGCCGCTGCCTACAGTGACAGGTAAGGGTCATCCTTCTCATGCTTGACAAGTACTTGGAAATTAACTTAGTTGATGGGAGAGGAGATTCTTGTATGGTCTTGGTGAAACTGCATGACTGCTGGGGAGGTAGCACCCCAAAAGTTAGGTCCCATGGTGAACATGAACTCAAGGCCCCATAGACAGAGGGCAAATGCTTCAGCCCATTCTAAACTACTTTCTCTGCTAAGACACAAAGAAAATGATAGCCTTGTCCCTGTGTAGTTTTTAATATCTCTTAATTCCTGTGACAACACAGCTTGCTCACATACAAATACACACACACACACACTGTACAACCTTCTTATGGTCATCTGTGTGAGACTGTGGTTTCATCTAACTCATAGGAAGAAAAACAGACCACGATCCTACAAGGTTTATTTCAATTTCAAGTCCCTTATTTCCGTTTTTACAAGGTCTTATACGGAATAAATTATTCCCTCCAATGCATTTTTAAATTTTGAAATAAAGGAGAGGGAGAGTGTCCCTGGCATTCATAAGGAGATTCTTTCTGGCAATGCCCAGTGTCCCATCCTACAAACATAAGTCAACTTTTATTTGTAATGCACACCACATTTTAAGGCAGGCAGTGGAAGGAACCCAATGTGTTTGAGAAGTGCAGTAGTCAGAATGGATGGGCAAGTTGTGGGCGGGTGGGGTGGAAATGAGGGGCTTCTATTACCCAGGCTTAACAGATGAGTTGGTTCCTGAAACAGCAAGCCGTAGCTACTTTTGTATGGTTGCCTTGAAAAGGAAAGTGTGTGTTTTCATATTGAATGCAACTCCTTGGCTCTGTTTTCTGAGGACATAAATGTGAATGTTCAGATGCTCTGCATGCACAAATGTCATTGAGGGTGCTTATTTTGGTAATGAGTCCTTTATTTTAAAAAATACGTTTCATGAATAAAACAATGATAACAATTTGCATGTGTGGCTGGGGCATGCTGGGTCAGACAGGTAAGCAGGCGATGTATTTGACTCCTGAATGGGAAGTGTCGGCAGCCTCTGGTGCTCCTACCCGGCCTGTTGTGATGTAGTTCCTACCTCAGTTTGCTGTGGTGTGCTTTCTCTGCAGTTCCATTCCATTTCTCACGAGATGTGCTGTTAGCTAATTGTAGAATTATTGCAATATAATAAAGCAGAGTAAATTCCTGAACCCTAAAAGCGGCACTTTGAAAACCCCATGCATACACTCTTAACAAATGGTTCTTCGGTAAGATGGAGTTGAGATCTGCTGTCTGGTTCTATGCGGGTATCTTCTTATAAGCAGCCATAACAAGTTCTCAAGGCTGTAGGGGGCCTTCAGAGAAATCCAGACAATTGTCAAGACAAGGTTCTCAATATATAAGTTATACATTTACCCAGTAATCAGTTGCCAAGATGCAAAATGTGTTTCATGTAAGTTGTTATCTTCAACCCACTGACACTGGATTAGAAAAGTAGAGAGGGTCAATAAGGCTAATAAAAAAATACTCAAGATCATTGTACAAGTGAAAAGGTCTAATGTTATTAAATTCTGCACTGAAGATTCACAAAGTATCAATTGCAATGTGGTTCAACTGCAAGCCTTATTTTTTATGAAAATATCTCTAGATGCTACATTCTCAAACACCCACTTTGCATATAATTATAATCATAGTAACTTTAGCCTGCTGTATAAGAATCTTAAAAGGATTTGATTATCTTGCTTTTCAGTATAAGTGCATCTACCCCCCCAAGTTGAAAAAAAAAAGATTAACAAATATATAATTTAAATTGCCTCCTTCAATAAGGCTGGTCTAGACATTTAAAAAATAAACATATGATACTATTAGAATTATCTGAGATTCTGGCCAACTCTACTTGCATTCATCTAGACATTTTTAAATTTCTACATTTTGGAACACCATATGTGTAAAATCTGTTATTTTGATATTATTCAGATTTCTCATTGGCAACATGTCCCACTGAAAGATTGCCCTTGTTCTTGGATTGGTAAATCTTTAATAACTGCAATTCCAACTTTAGTACCATAGTTTCAGCTGAAGAAACCAACTAACTATTCTGTTGTCCATATAATTGGCCCCTTGTTGTTCATGAGAGAAATTTGCACATTTGGTCTTCTTGGTTGCTGTGGAAATTGATAGCTATCCTTATTTAAGTTTATCATAAGCAAGACACTTGACACATATGGAATTATTCATTGAAGTACATTCATTAAGTAAATGGACAGAAAGCAATCTTTAAAGTTGTATTTCTGAATTTTTAAAGTGTCTATTAAATGGTGCTACCTCCTTTTATCTTTAATAAATGGATATTGAGAAGGAATACCTTTTTATAAGACGACACTTTTAGGGAAAATGTGAAATTATCAGAATAGCTTTTGAATCTAGATTGAAGATGCCAAGTACCTAGAATTTCTCTCAGAAGTAGCAATCGTGTAACCAGTTATTTTTATATCATCACAGCATAGAATCAGTAGTGATAGATTCTTAGTTCCTCTTCTGTAGAAGACAGGCAAGATAAAGAAAAACTTAACAAAAGAACTTCTTCAAAAACAGGAAGTAAAATCAGCAGGCATTGAGAATGTTTTGGTAATGCTCTCTGGCTGTCAATTGATCAAAAGAGAAACAGCAACAAACTTTCCCTGTAATCATGAGATTCATTCTTCAGACGTCTTGAAAGCAAAAGTTTGATGTCCCCAGTTGGTAGGATTTCACCTTTTATCAGCACAAATTAAGCCCTCATCAAATTAAAGATTCAGGGACCTTTGAGAAATATTGAACTCCAGTAACCTCAGGACTGTCCAGAAGGTCCTTAATGGGCACCTTGCAACTCCCTGCCCATCATCTTCTTGGTTAAATGATCACATGCTGACCATCTCGGAGCAACCTGAGAGTCTCTGAATGTTGACCTCCAGAATGAAGACCATCTGGTGTGGGCAGAGATTTCCCCAAAAGGAAAATACCTCACTGGACTAGGTAGTCTCATTGACAAATTTAGTGGGAATAGGTGAACATCTTATCTTGGCATTTAGCAAACATTTGGTAAGCACTTGACCTCACCAAATCTTTATTTCTAATCTCACTTTGATTTATGCAAAGCCAACTGTCTGAACTCTCAAAGGAGAACGTTTTTTGAGCTTGAACCAATCGAAGCATGGCAGAGGGGCCTTTGGTCATCCGGTCATTGCATGCCACTTGGTGTTGCTGATGTGTCTGTGATACGTTCTGGATTGGACAGGTCCATCACATCAGCTTGATGAATGGCTTGCTTGAATTAAGCCTGGGGGCAGGCTTCTCTTTATTGATTGGCTGATGGTTTGTGTATTATGACTTTGTTGTTGTTGCATCTTGAAGCAGCCAAAGTGGGAGGTTGGGGGCTGGGGTGGGGGCGGGGGGAAGGCAGTGGGGATAAGATTCCCTGTTTGATCAACTGTGCCACAAATATTTGGGAAAATATGATGTGTACATAGCTTTGATGAAAATGTTATCTCCCCAGACAGACAGACATTTGTCATGCTTGTCCTGCTTGCTAACACTCTAACATTTCCTAATGATCAATGCATGAAAACGTCCCTCCACATCAGGGGAGAAAGTAGTTAGATGCAGACTGCCTAGAGACTAAAGCAATACAGAGTTTTTCTCTCAGATTTCATCACAATCCGATTACACTGATAGTTACCAGGGGCCATTTCTTCCACATAAAACATGCATTTCTTGTAAAGATACATGAAAGCTAAGAAGCTTTTGACATATAGTAGCACCAGGCCACACAGATATCTCTAAACTGAGCAAAAGACTGCCAAGCAACATAGTTTTGTTTTAATGGATACCTCTCCTTGGTTTTTGAGACCTTAAAGTTTCACTGCTAATGTAGAGATAGAAATTGCTACTTTTATGTGACAAAAATGACATATTGGCTTTGTAATAGGTATGAAATATGTACATATATCAATATAAATTTTATATAGCTCAACTTAATAGAAATCCAAATAAAATGCCATATTATCTAGCTCTCTGCATACACACATGTACACACACACACACACTTACTTGTGCCTTGGGGCCTCACAAGGGACTCGTAAGTGTATTCAGGTAAAGCTTAATGCAAAGAGACCAGGGCTTGTTAATTTCAAGTGGTCACAAACTGCATGCTAGAAAACGTAAGTTAAATATGACATTCATAACCTATGAATAAAAGGTTCTGTTTCAGACAGATTTGTGTTTCTTAGAACCTAGTAAGGATAAGTAGGCATATTTTGGGGTTCATACAGGATTTAGTCTTATTTAAAAATTATATAAGTGACAAAGATAGATACATACATACATCCATATGCGTACACATACATAGATGGGTGGAAGGATGGGTAGATGGATAGATGGAGATAAAGCGATAGAGGTGGGTGGATGAATGGAAAGAGGGAAGGAAGCAAGGAAGGGACCATCTTTCTGCCCTCTAATAGTTCATAAGCTAAATACAGAAAATAGGACTAAATCCTTATTATACAATCTTCAAGCTGAAGTAAAAAAGTGAAAGGATTTGAGTTGATTTCCATTAGTGCAGGCTACTCCCTATTTTAGAACTTTATTTTCTGGCCTCAGATTAAGTAGGAGAGAAATGTTGTCATGAAAATAGACAAATAAGTACATTTACAATGATATTCAATTTTATTTGGAGTCTTTATCTGATGATATAGGCTAAAATTTAAGGGATTGTCAGCATATAAAGTGTATGAGCATCCTGAATAGAAAATGTAATTTACCATTTAGGGGATTATTTCTGTAGGAAGGTTAATTTTTTAAAGAGATGTTTTATGGACATTGTTTCCTTTTTCTTTTTTTTTTTTTTTGCCGTGGGTTGGAATACAGAAAGCTGAACCTGTGGATAATTTGAAACCCTTAATGAAAATAGATATACAAAAAGCAGACAAAGGGGGTACTTGCTCTGCTTTCTGCAGTCCTCTTATCTGAACCAAGTTTGATAAGGATTGAAAATATTTCTA